GTTCTCGCGCCCTTCGTTGTTCGCGGGGCCCGCGGCACCCGCGGCACTCGCGACGCGGCGCGGTGCGTCGCGACGAACGCCGTTCCCCGCGGGACCCGCTCTCACGGACAGGGGTCATTTCAATTTCGCGCGTTCGTTCCGCCGTTCGTATTGGTACGGTCACGGGCAAAGAGAACAGAGCTGTCTCGTAGGGGACGAGCGGAGGATTCGATTCACCTTGTCCTCCGACGCATTTCGAGAACGCGCGTATTGAAAACTAGCGATGAGATTTGCGGGTCGTTGTCTCTGCGACGGAGATGGCGAAGCGGAGTTACGGAGGGTAGTAGATAGACTAGTGGCTACATTTTCTGGCCAATTAGCTACGATTCAAAGTGCTAATAAAGATGTCGAAGCTTGGATTTTATTATATTACCTTCTATGAATTTTCTTCTTTGTAGATTTACGGTGACAATCGTATCTTATTCCGTGTATAAATCTGCAATCCACTCACAGAAAATCTGTGGACTCGGGAATAAATTTGAATAAGTGCATAATTTCTCACAGGTAAGACGCGTTTCTCTCCGAGTGCCCCGCGACGCTCTGCGTCTGTCAGCGTCCCGAGTGTGTTTGCAGACAAATTTGCCACCGCAAAATAGCACCTGTCCGACGCCTGATCAGAGATGGGCGCAGTCCCGTCTGGATAGAACACTCTTTCTTTCGTTCAACCAACGACCAACTTGCGACATTTTCGTTCATTGTTATTCACCACCCCTTTGATTTGCCGCTGATCGTCCAGAATCGTTGCATGCGTTGTCTTTGGCGTCGAGCCGTGCACGTGTGTTTCGAGATGGATCGCTCCTGCAGGATACTAACGCGAAGGTAGACACTTTAGGGATTGGAAAACGCGTTGGAGTGGATACGCGAGAAGTTGTCTGGGAATACGCGCGCATCGACCCTCCCATGGATAATTAATGTTTCCCGTTCGCTCCATCCGTCCGCGAGCAAAGCACCGCGAAACTTTTAATTAATGGAACGTGGCCAGAGTTCGGCCCGGAACTCCGTAATTTGATTTTATTTCTACTTAGGTCTGAAAGGAATGCGAGCATAGCTTTTCTAGTGGACCTCCTATTTTTCGCGGAAGAAGATTGTACACGAAAGAAGTCGACAGTGTTCGCAGTTCGAATTCGATGAAACTTTTCCGCTGGACCTTTGCGCAGGATTCTCGTTGGCCTATGATATAGAGGAAATTTGCCTGCAGTTACAGTTGCAATCTCGAGTTACGTAGAAATAACAAGTACACCGGATAGGCTGATAATCCCTGCGCTTCAACCATGTCCCAGTTTTTCGTTCGAAGTTTGGATTCGGATCCCTTCGTCTTGGCGCAGGTGACGGAAAGTCTCGGAGTTCTTCGAACACAAATTCAACCTTCCGTTGATCAAAACTAAGGAAACGATTCCTCTCGAGAGCGAGTTTCAAACAAGTTTCGCGTCTTGTTGGGTTCACGCGAGAATTCGATACGGAAAGAGTTGTTGCAATTTTTGTTCTCCAAGCGCACGGTGTATCGAAAAGTTGAAGGTAAATAAAAATTTGTTCCTTGTCTGCAGAAAATCAGCTTCGAAAATTAATCTACTACCTGTGCCATGGAACAGAACTCGGCTGTGTCTGTTCGTGAATTACCATTTTCACTTACAAAGTCTAATGCGCTATCCCGAACCAGTTTTTATTCGGAATTTTCACAGCACCTTTCCCACGTATATTTTCTCCTGTTCTCGCGAAAATTGACCAAACGTTTAGGCTCCTGAAATTTGAGTAAACGCAAAGATTTCGGTTGGCAACGGAAGCGAAATGAAAGAATTTTCCCCGTCTTTTCGATTGATCGTAGAGCGCCTCGTACACCGAAAATGAAACTTTACTCGAAATTCGTGTCGCGCGACAGCGAGCAGGGATTTCCGTGGAGTTTTAATTGCAATTCCGAGGGACCGTCGATCGGCGGCGCGTCGATTCGGCAAATAATTTCGATCCGGTGCAATCGGACGCGATTAAATATCATACGCCGCGTTGAGTGCACCACGCCCTCTCGCCGTCTGTTCTACACGTATGCACACGTATACACGCCGGTGGACAAGAATAGGATGACGGTACTCGCGGTGAAGTGTCTCCGGTTCCGCGATCGATCGAGCGTTCTCACTCAGTAACAGCGTTCGGTAAACGGAAGCTCGATAAATATGAATGGCTCGTAAAGTTTTGCCGGAAAAAAAGTTTCTCTTGGCCTCCCGCGTCGCCGGCGAACGGGTCAAGATTTAATGCCCGGCTGGAATTAAAACGCGGCACTGTGTCCGTTGCGCAACGTTGCATTACGTGTCGCATTTTCCGATTAGATCGTTACCGGCTGTCTTTCGACCGGTGCAACGTGAAAATGCGAATCTTTACGAGAAAAGATCAAATGGTTTTGGAGATTGCTCAAACTTTCATTTCCATCGTTGAAAATATCTGCCGAACTGTTCATTGCGTTCTCGGCATAAGTGGAAGAAATAGATAACGATCGGACGCATTGAAACTCTCAAGTTGAAAGTTGTAGAAATTCGGAAGTCTGGCAATTTTCGTTCGCTCTAATATTATATGGCTGTTGCATCTTATAGATGCAAGTTCAGAACTGCATCGTCGGTTCTAAATCACTTCCATGCAATCAATTATAGCCGTCAAGTATACGGAAGCCTTATACAGCGGTCTATCGACCACTGTCGCCTCCTAATGAAAAAAGGTGTCGCATTCTCGACGGTACGGCAACCTCCTCGGCTCCGGGACATCCAAGACATCCTAGGGAAAAGCAAAACGTAATCCAGAAATCCCCATCGGACGATCGCCGAAGGAAATCCTTTTCATTTTGAATTGCCGTCTCTCCGATCGATTATCCGGCTGGAATATTGGCCGACGCCGATCTCCATTCGAAACGAACTCGCCGCGGCCCGGCTGACAGGGATTAAACGCGAGCGATCAATTCCGCGGACGTTGTCGACGGTATCTCGAAAGGCGGATTGAAAACTGCCAGTTCGGGAAGGGAAACGGAACCCACTTAACCGGGCAAGTTGAGAGATGACGAGCGACGCGCTCGTCGGGATTAATAATACATGCCGCGGGGAACAAAGTGGAGCATCGGCCGGTGTGTGTGTTCGCCAGGTGCGACGCCGGCCGGCGATTCACGGTGTGTGCGGCCGAGTTTTCATACGACCACGCTCGAGAAAGGAAGCGTACCTTCTTCTCCCGTGATTTAATTTTACCGTTATGCCTCGAGATTGAATTTACGACGGTTGGCTGGCTGGAAGAGACCCAGGCGAAAGCGAAATCGCTGGTTGCCGAGGGAAAAATTGCGGATGTTCCGGAAAAATAGAAGGTCTCCGCGGCCGGCCTGTTTGTTCGCGGGAACCTGAAGCGTTTTATTGTTTGGACTGCATATTAGATTTGAAATTTGCTATTAAACTTGAAATTGAAATTGACATTGATACCTGGAACCCGGGATATTTTAAGCGTTCGCGCGATGTTCGGAATTCCTTAGCTCGCTCGCTTTCTATCCGATATCTTTAGTCTAGCTCTGCCGATCTTATGCGCGATTGAGTAACCGCGGCTAATAATCAATTTGCGGACACCGCAGACGGTATTACAGCACTCTTTGGAAAAGTGAAGGCGGACGAAGCCGGACAAGGTTGTCTCGCGCAACTATCTGTTCCGCAGTGATCGCGGAATTAATTTAGCTCTGTGCAGAACGGAATTCCTCAGAGGCGAAACAAACTGTTCTGCCGTTCGAGATTGTTGGCTAGGGATTCGAAGGGATTCGAAGGAATCGAAGGGAATTGGTCAAGGATTTCGTGCGTCTAGTGGAATTTCTCGAGTTTCCTTTTAGTTGCTCGATAAGTTGTCCGTGACGGGTTATTTCGCTTTTCGAACCGATGACACGAGTGACGCTGGCCTCGAAACTGTTCACCATCGATTCCATTGAAGTGGAGCACGATGGATACGCGTTCCGCAGCGGATTCGGTACGTTTCTGTAAATTACGTTACGCGTTGTTACTCGCTCCAATCGCCGCGGCGTAATTGGCGGCTGGGTAGGTGCTAATTTCCCGTCAAGGCGAGACATGAACGATAGTGAAACCCTAATTCAACGTTACCTAAGCATATTTTCCCACAAGCCCATTTTTTAACGTGATCCTTCATTCAGCCGTGGTATTTCTTCTCAGTGGTTACAAGCTTTCTGAAGCCTTTTAAGCGTTTGTATTGTAAACCGTTGCCTTCGGGCCAACCTCGTCGCTGCTCGCCGCTGCGCCCTTTTCCTCTTTCCTATCCAATCTACTTTCGTTTTCCCCGACCGAAATTCTTCTTCCGATCTTCTGCCGATTGCACTTTAATCAATTATCCACGCGCCCTGTACCTCTTTCCTCTAAAATATCGGAGCTAGGTCGCAGTTCTTTCGGAATTCAACGGACGTTTATGCTACTCTTCCTCTTTTCAGTACTTTGTCAATAGGTTTTTCGTAAACCGGCCAACCTGTGCTCCTAAAGAAATAATGCCAACATTTTTTGTACAATGCGATAGACGACTTTCCTTCTAAAAGAAAGAAATGAAAGGAATGAAAGGAATGAAAGGAATGAAAGAAATGAAAGAAAATTCGGAACCTGGAGTCACAGATCCACAGTTTGTCTACATCGAACAACTGATTCAGCGAACAACGCGCGGATCGGTTAAGTAATCGAGTATATCCGGCTGTCGAGATCAGGACCAATCGGACCGTTAAAACCGGCGTTTAACGAGGTTCAACAGCCGGCGTTCCCACGAAACTGTCCGATTGGCTGTTGCGTAGCGGTTTGCGGCCAGTTTTCGTCCCTAAAAGGTAAACAGTGCGCGTGCAGAGAGAGAAACTTGTCAATAGCATATCGTACGTCACTGAGGATACCTCGACATAGCGTCGGCCCAGACCAATAGTCGATCTCCTCGGGCGGCACGATAGTCGGTGGTCGGTCGTATGCACGGCTTCAGTTCGTCGTCGGTGAAGATCTGTTTCGGTTGTTCGCTTATCGATGAAACGCATCGCGGGTGCGACCGTCCGGTTCGTTCGCTGTGCGTTCACGCACCGGAGCTCGCCAGCTTCCGCCGCCTCGAATCGCGCTCTCGATGGTGCGTTTATCGCCGCGAGAAATCCAGTTCCTCCATTCTTCGTGCACCACCATCCCCCGTCCTCAGTCGCCAGAGAATTACAGTGCGAGGTCTTGCGTGTCGTGGTTCGTTGTTTCACTGATCTTTTGGCTCTACGATCGCGATATTTCCCGATTTTCATTAGAAATCTATTTTCATTAGAGCTGTAGAATTTTGCGGTTTTGAAACTTTGCAAATTTCAACTCTCGAAACTATAGAACATGGAAATTTTTGAATCCCAGCAACGCGAACACTTGGAAATCTTCTCATTCGCGAAGAAGAAGCTCACCGATGAAAGAAACAACTGTATAGAAGCAAAAAAGCGCGAGGGAAGAACGGTTTTGATAATGACCTCCGTTTGATGCGGTGCTCTCGTTCAGAGCGGATATTCCGCTATTCGACTTTCATCGCGCGCTATTTAGATCGGGGATGGTAATGCTCTTTGCTGGATCGTCGTCGGAATAAAATTTCGAAAATTTCCAGGGACGTTTCACGCTCGATTTCACGCTCGATTTCACGCAGCATTTTTACCCTGAATGGCCGCACCGACGCGTTAAATCTGCCAGTCGAGCGCACGTGTTCTCGACAGATGTTTCCTGTCATTTTTTCGCAGCCGGGCGGAAAATCCTACGGGGAAATATCATTCGCGTTATGGATTCCGGGTTTTTTCCGCGGAACATCGCCTCCGTTCTTTAAAGAGAACTTCCGCGATCCCGGGTGCAATTGAATCGAAAGAAAATAAATAATAACGACGTCCTCTTCGTTGCTTTACAGTGGAACGGAATGTTAGCGACAGAAGATAAAGAGCTTAAAGAACAGTTCGGTGAAAGCAAACTAGACTCGCAGTAGATTCAAACGTATAGAAAACCGTGGAAAGAAGATAATACGTGAACCGGTAAACGAGTGACATTAATATTTAAGAAAATGTTGCTCTGAAAATCATCCAAGGTCAGAATCAAATAATTTTCACCGTCCGTATTAACGATGCTAGTACCTTTACCTTGCGCAATATCAGATTTTCCAAGCATCCAATAAGTCAAAGAAGACGATGAAATACTCGAATACCGAAATACCAAGTGCCCGGTGAAGAAATCGGTTCGAACTCCCCCTTTAAATTGATTCCTAAAATTCCAGCGACACGCGGAAAGAAAGGAATGATCGAAAGCCTCGAAGATGGTTGGCAGTTGGCGAGCTCCGCGAGCTCACCGCGTAGCCGCGCGTCAGTGATGATTTTCAATGGAACAGTCTAAGATGCGCTGTTAGTGTGATATGGGTTTCGGAGCCCTGATCTTGGACTCTGTGGTTCTGCTGGTCGTTAGCAACGTAATACTGCGTTCGCTGGGCATCTGTTACGTGTGTCTACCGTACTCGCTGGTGCTGACAGTGTTCGTGGCGAGCGCGCTCTACTTGTAAGTACCATTGAACCGACGCTAGCTCGCGGCTAGTCCCTCTCGGCACCACGAGATTTTGGTTACGCAACGCAGCCCTGGTAAAGGCAGCCCGGCGACCCAACGATCGCGACGTCCGATCCCCGAGGGCCCTGACCAGTCTCGCGATCCCTTCGATCGAGTTTCGCTTCTCGCTCGCGTCGACCGAGAAACGCGCCTTTTAGCCGGAATCCAATTTTAACGAATTTTCCCGGTTGATTCGCGGCTAACGAGGACACCCGGTGCGAGGGAAATGCAGCGAATCTGGTATTTCAATTTTCTGGACGGTAGGATCTCGGTCGAGCATTTCTTTACACTCGATCGTATATGTTCCGAAGTACGATCTAGGAGTCGTTCAGTTCCGATTCATTTAATAGTCTGGACAATCTGTTTGGCGTGGAAACAAGCTTGCCGACTGTTTCCGACGAATCTACTCTCTCCATTTGCAAAGAATGCTACGCGCAATGGATTCGTAATCGACTGGATGGAACGGCAGCGAATCAGTTTCTAAATCGAATGGATTGCAGAGGACGGCGACTCGGCTACCGTGGATCGTTGATCGCCAGACCACGAGGAACTTTGGTTGTCTTTATTAGAGTCGAGTTTCGCGCGATTAAAAATTGAGAACGCAACGCGACACGGTCTCCGGAGAATGTGATCGAATCGCGAACCCGAGACAAACACAGTTGCCCCAAACCCGACTCTACACGCTTTTCCTCTCTTTTTTACCTTTCAACGGGATAGGAGTCTCGTTATCCGAGTACATCAACCTTCCGTGGTCTGACCGGTTTCCTTTCCGGTAATCGTCGATCGGTTTCTAATTGACCCACTAATTGACTTTCTATCCCACCCGCCGATTCTTCTTTTTGCGTTCTCTCCGTTTAATAGGATTAACCCTAGAATGACCGAGGCTCGGGCTAAGCAACTTATCCTCTTTGGGAGGTATTGCCTTTACTTGATTAACTGTTAAACGGACAGCTATAGCATTCGGGTACGTGCACTTTCGGCACGTTTGTTCTTCGAGAACCTCCGTGTCTCGAAAGTAACGGATGTTTCGTCAATTTTTCGAACTGTTCGAAATGATATTTTTTCGTAATCTTATCTTTCGAGAAATAAATCGCGTTTACGTGATAGCGGTCTTGGAGATATCCCCGAAGTCGTTCTAGGGTTAAACGGAAAATAGAGTTTCCGAACGCGTGTTACTGCGCGACGTCCGACTATATACCCTCTTGACTACTTTACGCTGTCTGTGACCTGAAATAGAGCCGTTCGGGTACTCGATACGTTAAAGTAGCTCGATAACTCGGCCAAACGGGATCAAGAGGAATATTTTCTTTTAGTATTCTCGGACGGAGTACGACGAAATTCGCTTCGAGTACGACGGCGTCGATCATTAAAGAATAATTTTTAGGTGTACACTACCTTCGGCAACCAGTTGTGTCTCGATGCTAGAATTTTATAGCGTTAAAGTCGATTCCCACCTACGACGAGATTGTACAATGATACTCGAGTTTTTGTCAAGTTTAAAGATTGCAGCAATGAAACATTCAGTTGAATCACAGTTGACACGGTCGAGGTCCGTCCACGCGTATCCGAAACTATTTTCCATCGAAAAGTGGAAAGCTATTTCCTCCGAATAAATAACAGAGTTCTGTGCCTGACTACAATGTACACGACTACTTGCCAAAGAGTCAACACGGTTCGATGTCCGACTACATATGTATGAGAGCACTTTTTGTTCGAGTCTAAACACGACTCGGTCTCTAACTACATATGTATGAGAGCACTTCTCGCCGAAGAAGCTACAAGCTCGATGCTCTGAATGCACGCGGCCGAAACTACTTGGCAGTAAAAGGGGAATCTTGGAATATTCGCTGCAGATTCTCTTGGATTCGAACCAAATGAACGGACGCTCGTTCGGCTTCCACTGGATTATTAAACTGTATTAGTATCGGTAAATCTTTCACGATTACGATACCTGCAAGAATTCGCTATAGACTGGCCGAATAGGAGCACGTAGACACCGAGGAAAGTGGGAGCCGAAGGAACGCTCGTTTCTTTGCTCGAATCGCGTCGTTCGGAATAGAGTCGGTTGCGCCTAGCTCGATTTTCGGAGAACTCGACGCGAGCGGAAACGAATCGGATGTCCCAAAGGGTTGACCGGCGAGGATGAAGTCAGGGCCGGTTAGGTGATCACGCGAAAGCCTGCCGGTGGTATATCTCTAAGGATTCCTCTCTTGATTCAGGCACCGAGGCGGGATGCCGCTAGCACGAAACACTTTAACGCGATGTCTTGCCTAACAACAGCTACCGGGAGGGCTCGAATGTGCCGGAGAAGATGACGAGCTGGATCGAGAAATTATTGTTGTTGCTGGTGATACTTCCGGGTGGCGCACAGGCTGACCACCGTAGTCAGTTGCCACGGCGCAAGAAGCGGTGACACCAACACACTCAAATTGCGCGCGCTTCCCTCTTAACTGTCTCACTTTTTTTATTCTTTATCTATCTTCTTATCATCCCATCCCGTTCTTGCACTTTAGTCGCCGCATTTAGGCACATTCATTCACGCCTTCTGCTTCAACGGTCGCCAAGGCGGGAATTTGATTTTTATTTATCGAACCGGATTTCCTCGGCTCGAGCCTTCCGGACGCGGCCGTTATCGCGGGAATCCCCCACGTTCCGTTGTCGCCTCGACGATTTCCCGGAGAAACACCCGTTTCTACTTTCCTCGCGCGAACGTGATCGCCGCGCTTCCGGCTGGATAACCATGCGAGACAATATCATTTTCCGTTTGTTTCTCTGTTATTCGAGCGTTGTTTAGTTCGTTCGCGCGAACCCTCCGCTTCTTTTCTGGACAACGATACAAACATTCCTCGATACTTTACAGTCTGGGAGGAAACTTAAAAGTTAAAAGATTCCGTTGATCGAAGCCAAATTGCAATAATTCACTATTTTCGTAGCGACGCTCGGATATTTCGGTACAGCGATACATTATATTTCGGTGCTTTTGAATCTTTTTACGCGTTCACGTCCGGAAGGTCACGAGCACCGTCGCGACGAGCACGGTCCCTTTGAAAAGTATCACAGCTCATTAACGTTTTTGACTCTCTCTCTCTCTCGTCGAACGAGGTTTACCGCGTATACGAAACAGTTGCTACAATTCTGACGCAACGAGAGGGTCGAAGAAAATTCGGAGCAACTTCGCCGGCATCATTCAGCGACATGTTGGACACTCGTCGGCCCTTAGGGCCGTGTATCAGCGATCAGCCGGCAGCCACAAGTAGCTTTTCAGTCCGTTCACTGCGCTGTGATTACGAGTAGCTCTTGAACACGGTAACTAGGCACGGTGCAATCGATTACAGCTAGAAAGTTCATCGCTAGGCGATCGTAGTTCGAGGGAAGATAAAGCCTCGCTTGTACGCTTAATAACTTCTGCCGAGTTACTTCGGCGAACGTCTCGCGGTAGAGCTTGCGCCGCCGATCGCGTAGGAGACGAGGTATTGTCTTGAGTAGAACTTTACCCCGGGCCGAAGGAGATCCACCTATTGAAAATCCTTCATTCATTCCGGAGGAATCGCGATATTACGAATCCACTGAATATTCTCCGATCGTTTTACGACTCGAATGCCCAGAGTGTCGCAAAGCCAATACGATTCAATTGTACTCCATTGTTTCGTAACACGAAAGGTCATTCGAATAGATTGATCGTTAAGAAGAAACGTTAGATTTCATTAAAAATTCACATCGAGAAGTAAGCGCGATCATTAATGCGATCCTCCCTTTTGAAAAAAGACCCTGAACTACAAATACCCGATGAACAAAGGTACGGCAAGGAAGAGAAATAATGAGTGTAAAAGAATAACGAAGGATTAAAGTATCCGAGTGGACTGTTTCTTTTGTTCTGTCGGTGGTAAAAGCTCTCGCTGTTGGAGAGCTCGTTCCACGTGGCATTCGAAAAGTGCAGATGGCGCGGTGGAAGCTCGCCGCGTATTTTCTCGGAAGCTTCTCGCGAGTGGGTTCTCGTTGGTAAAACAGGGATCCTGGAACGACGCGAAAGCTCCCTAGAAGGGTGTTCGCGAAGCTTTCGCGGAGTTTGCGGTCTCGGGGTTCGCGCGACTTGCCGAGCTTTCCGGCAGGCGGCGTTTCCATCGATTTCCAGTCTCGCCGGGCAGCGTTGTTCACGGAACAAGTTCGACTTTCCGCGATATATCCGTTTATCGTTGCGCATTGTTTCAACTTGGTCTCCATCTTGGAAGTTTTTACTTAAGGGGAAAGCTGTCCCGATAAGACTAGCTTCCCTTTGTCCACGGTCCGCCGCGCGTATACAGCGGAAGCCTGTTTTTATTTTGGCAAATACGAGGCTGCTCTTCCGCTTTATGATCCCGCGTTAACTGTAATTCTTCCGAATCCTCGTTTCACCGTTCGCTCCGTGGTTAATTGTCCGCCGTAGGGGAAACGGGCAAACGCTTTTAGTAAAAATTAAACATTCTCCCAGATGGATGAGCATTTTATCCCATCTCGCGCGCGGGCAAGTAAAATTCGTTTTTACTCGATTGAAATTGAAATTTTCCAGGAGGTTCTGTTGTCCTGTTGCTAGGCGTGGGGATTACTCGCAGAGAATTTCACTCTCATTTACTTTATCCTTCTGCCCATTTATCACTCTGTTATTCCACGGTACTCTCGTTACCGCACACGCCTTCCTGCCCCCTGTTGCGAAAACAAGTGTCGGAACCGAATACACCTGATAGCGTTAACAGGTGAAGACGTCCGGTACGTGACCGGCGTTACAAGACATCGAGATATCGAGGGTCGAAGCGTTCCGCTGGCCGCCGTTAATCATCGGGTCGGCTGTGAGCAGCGGAGCGCCAAGATCACTAGATTAGGCGGTCGCGTGGCCCGATATCACGGCCGGTTGCGTCGGGAATTACGACGCGCGTTAGCCTAGGCTCACGAGCAGCGTCCTCGCGCTAGCTCGAAAATTA